CCCTCAGAGGCACCGAACCCCCCTGAATTAAATTAAATTAGCCTCTAATAGTAAACAGTCTGTTCCAGGGCGGTGAGGTATGGAAACACAAACTGGGCTTTTTCTGGCCGAGCACAGGCATCGATCGCTCAGATGAATAATGCTGCCGGCCGGACAATTACTCAGACACGTCCGGATTAAAGCCGTTTACACCCGGGATCCCACTCCCAGATAAGTATTGGCTTTTTGCTCTGATGTGGAATGATACTTGGGCAAAGTGGGGGACATTAACTCGTTGACTGCCAGCCATTTTCAGAACAGAGAGTCCCATACTGCCAGAGTTTTTTGAGCATTTTGACTGATTTTTCAAGAGCCACAGAATAGTTTGTGCTATGACTATGTAAACACCGAACACACCAAAAGAAAGAGTAGACTCTCTTCTTTCATCAGGAAAAAAAATGTGTTTCTACCTTATTCCGTTCTTCCTGGACGTGCGTCTCACCGGCGACATGTTCTCTCATAGTGATCCGTTACCTTTTTCTTATTTGCCTACAGTCTAAGCTCATCTCCCATCAAAAGTTGCACTGCCCCCTAGAGGGTCAATTTGTTACTACATACTCTGTCTAGAAGCTGATATTTACGGACAAGCTTTAGCAGATCGTCCCCCAAGACACTCTTGTTGAAAAACATAAAAGACATCTATAGACGTCTTTGGCAGCCAATGAGTTAACGGTGGACTTTAAGGCTTCAAATGTAATGAAAAGGGCCGAAAGGGGAAGGAGTGGGATCACTGGCTGCTGAAAGCCCAAACGAGGACCATCTAAAGGCCATTACAGCCTCATAAATCACAGCAGGACTCTGGGCAAAGCTCTGATTTTTCATTCTGGGATATTTCCTTCAGGCGGATTGTCCTCAGACCTCAGAGGTTGGAGGTTTTACCGAGCCGGGAGGGTTTGAAATGCAGAAAAATGCAGGAAAACACGTTTAAAGGAGACATATTATACCCTATTTCAACAAGTTAAGCTAGTTCCCTGGTGTCCTGATGTAATGTCTGTGACAAGCTTTGGTCAAAATCCCATAAGGATGAAGCCCAATAGCAGTTCAGTCCCCCTGCCTAACCCTAACCCTAACCCTAACCCAAAACAGCCCCGTTCAGAGCGCCTGTCTCTTTAAATGCAAATGAGACACAGGCAATCCACCCACTTCTTCAGGGAGGTGTGCCCACGTCGGCACGCTAACGCTACCATGCTAACGCTACCATGCTAACGCTCATGCTACCACAACGTCTCCACAGATAGGGGATTTTGGCAAATATTTTGCATAATATGTCCCCTTTAAAGGCAAATCGGTGAGAAGCTACAGTGGAGGAAATAAGTCAAGTCAAACTTTTAAGTATTTGACCCCTTGCTGATTTTGCAGGTTTGCCCACTTACAAAGAATGCAACGATCTATAACTTTAATCATATGTACATTCTAACAGTGAAAGACAGAATCCCAAAGGAAATTCCAGAAAATCACATCATATGAATTTATAAAAATTGATAACCATCTGATGAGGAAAAAGAAGCATTCTTTGTAAGTGGGCAAACCTGCAAAATCAGCAAGGGGTCAAATACTTATTTCCCCCTCTGTATAAAGAAAGTGTGGCAGACAACACAAGACAGAGGCAGCAGGGCGGAGAGTTCCCATACGTCTCTGTTTCTTTATCTTCGTGGAATGGATGATTTAAAGTGTTAAAGTGTGACGATGCGTTCAGGGACCGGCTTATTCGGGGGGAAGCGAGGATCCCGGAGGCTGAGCCGGTCTGTTGTGGGGGTCCCGGAGCTCGTTCTCCAGCTGAATCAGCCGGTCCTGGACAGGCCCCGCCCCCCCACGCTGAGCCGTTTCCATGGCAGCCAGGTGGAGGTGGTCCTCCTCTGGTCAGGGTAAAAAATAAATAAGGAGGGGTTGAAATAAAGATATACATACATACACACATTTACATATAATTTATGTTATATATGTGGCAACAACAGTTACAGATGAGATCAACCTCTTTGGGGAAAAAAAAAAATATATATATATATATATATTTACACACACACATACATATGTATATATATATTTTTTTTTTTTCGATTTTTTGTTTTGGGGGGAAAAAAATTATATATATATACATACATATATATATATTTTTTTTAAAAGAGGTTCATATCCTCTGTAACTGCTGTTGCCACATATATAACATAAATTAATGCATTACAACCAGTTTTGGTGCATTTGAATGGCCTTCATTTGATTGTAATCGGTAGTTAAAAGTGCTCATAAATACATGAGGTAACATGTAAATAAAGTCTTTATTCTTTTCAATTTAAAAACAGCCTTTTCAGAAAATAAACTTGTTTTCTTTGAACAGTTACTGAATCTGTAGTGAACTTGTGTTACTTTGATTGTGTAAATGTTTGCGCTTTACACCCAAAACTAATTAAATTCTCGTCTGTTTTTCATGAATCCATTTCTTTGTTTATAACATGAATCGTCTCTCTGTGTGAATAAGTTCACCTAAACTCGATGGTGGGAATTAGGGGGGTTTGAGGCAGAATAATGGGAACAAATTAACCAGCAAGTGCATGAAAAAAAGCCCTAACCCTATATATACATATATATTTATTTATTTTTTGTTGTTGTCTTCTACTGGCTGTTATCAGGTATATCTGAATGTGTACAACAGGGGTTTGAGCAAAGCTTTTACCACTGAATGATGCAAAAAGTCTCAGATCCAAAAGACTTCACAAACCGTATGAATCAGATATGACACATTTAGCATTATAGGGTTAAAGTATTTCTGATTCTGATAACTTAGACTGTGTCTGTGATGTGGGAGAGCGTAAACTAAATGTTTAAATGTTAGCAGACATACGCTGATCTTCACAGGCCGGAGACAGATCTGCTGCTGGAGAGCTGCCAGCCTGGAGAGACAAAAATAAAAAGCTTTTAGCTATTTGTGAACTGAAAATGCAACAGCCAGAGAAATTAAAACACTCATTTTATAAATTACTATCACACACGGTTTTATAGACCACCGGCAAAAAAAATTAGTTGGGTTTTGCTGATTAAATCAACTTTTAAATTGAAACGGAAAAAGGGATTTTTCTCTTTTTGACCCTAACCCTGACCCTAAATCTAACCCTAACCCTGACTCTAGCCCTGACCCTGACCCTAACCCTAACCTTGACTCTAACCCTAACCCTGACTCTAACCCTAACCCTAACCTTGACTCTAACCCTAACCCTGACTCTAACCCTAACCCTAACC